CCCGCGGGGGGGCCCCCCCCCCGCGGGCGGGGGGGGGGGGGGGGGGGGGGGGGGGGGGGGGGGGGGAGACCCGCACCTTAAAAAACTTAAGGGGGGCGGGGGGGGGGGGGGGGGGGGGGGGGGAAAAAGAAGGGGGGAAAAAAAAAAAAAAAAAAAAAAAAAATTTTTTTTTTTTTTTTATAAGGGGGGGGGGGGGGGGGGGGGGGGGGGGGGGGGGGGGGGGGGGAGGAAAAAAAGGGGGAGAAAAAAAAAAAAATTTTTTTTTTTTTTTTTTTTGGGGGGGGGGGGGGGGGGGGGGGGGGGGGGGGGGGGAACCAAAACAAACACCCGGGGCGAAAAAAAAAAGGAAAAAAAAACACCCCCAATTTGGGGGGGTTGTTTTTTTTTTTTTTTTGGGGGTTTTTGTCTTTCACCGACACAATTTAATGGTTTAAAATATGAGTCTTAGTAACTACTATAAAATTAAAAGAACTGGGGTTGCGACGCTAACAAAAACTAACTTGGTTTATCTAAGGGTTCATAGATCTAAATGACATTTTTGTTATTGGACATTATTTGGAACGAGAATGTTAAAATTCAATTTATAAGTGGGGTACAAAAGTGTGCGATATTGTTAACATTTTGTTTACGCTTCTATTATTAACTAAAAATTTTATATGTAACAAAATTAAAGTTAGTTTACATAAATCACGACAACTGAATAACATCGGTAACATGTAAGTGAAGATAACATCGGTGATCTTTACTTACATACTAAATACATACAGGCATGCTTAAGAACGAGCTTATATGAGGAGAAAAATAAGTAAAAAAAGTTAACCAACTTAAAAATAAAAATGATAATTTCATACAGTTAAAAACATAATACAAAAAATCACGTTAATACGGAAATTTTTGAACAACTTTAAAAGGGAAAAGTCGTTAACACATGCGATCTTACGAGTTGGTAACACGGTGACACAAAATCAACCAGGATCGAGGAATGTGGACTGACACACCCAACTATTACATAGGACATTCCTTTTTTAACTAACGTATTACTTAAAATAAGGCAGTACTAACGTCACACACAGTAATCATAGAGCCTGGTCAAAATCAAATTGGTTGCTGATCTTACTTTACATATCTCAGTTATTTTTTATTTAATACTACAAACCGTAATTATTTTATTTTTATCTCCCGCACTGTTTTATTGTTTTTTTTTATTACTATTTAATGTATAATATTCTACGGTTTCGATATTTGTAAATATGTGAGGAACATGTATACTAACATTAGATTAATTGACCTATCCGCTAAAAAAAGGGGGGGGAGGGGGGCCCCCCCCCCCGACCCAACCCCCCCCCTCTTTGTTTTTGGGGGGGGGGTTTGGGTTTTGTCCCCCCCCCCGCGGGGGGGGGGGGGGGGAAAAAAAAAAAAAAATCCCCGCCCCGGGGGAAAGGGAAAAAAAAAATTTTATTTTTTTTTTTATGGGGGGAAATTAAAAAATCCCTTATTCTGGGGGGGGGGATTTCCCCCAATACAAATTTTTTTAAAAAAAGTGGGGGAAAAAAAAGGGGGGGGGGAAGTTTTTCGGCCTTTTCTCCCCGCCCCTCTGCGCCCTTGTTGTGAAGGGGGTGTAAATAAAAATTTTTATTAATTTAATTTTGACGATTCAAAAGTGTACTTGGTTTCCTACTTTGAAAAAGATATTTTGAGTTTGAGTTTGAGCATTGCTTAATTTGTAAGTGATACTTTGTGCCTATTTTAGTATAGAAGTTTTATTCTAGGAGTACATTTTCTTCACATATAATTATTTAACTAATGTATGCAAAATATTGTAAACCTATTTCAAAAGAGTAAGTGTGGAGTTTCATGCCCTTTCTTCTCCACACGAATTTACCTTTCGAAAGGGGCAACTAGAATCATCTTTATATTTTATTTGACGATCAAAAGTGCCATTTTAGGTGGTCTAATTCAAATAAATGATTTGACTTGACTTGACTTCACTTGACAAAAATTGTGTAGAACAAAAAACTTGGCGATTAAAAAGAGTGGCGGAGAGTTTATTGCCAGCTCTTCTCGTCCGTTCTACGCCCTTGATTTGAGAACTGGCAGTGAATGTAAAATTAAAAGCATGTAGTATTTAATACGTACTTCTTTTTGACATTCATAAGTGTACATTGTGTTACCTAAATGAATAAATAATGTTGATTTGATTTGATAGACAACACTTTTCCCAATTTCCCAACCTTTGCTATAAACAAAACATTATTCAAAGTACCAAAACTTTATTGTATATTGTGCAAAACATTGGAATGCAACATCTAATCACTTTCTTTTTAATTGAATGTATATTAACATCAACATTGTATTACAAAACTAAATTATGTAAGACAAAATGATAATTAATTCTTAATTTGTTTTGAGGGATAAATATTGAACAAGACTAGATTCTTAATCTAATTTGTCATATGGTTAATATTTACATTTACCAGTGGCTCTACAACCTTTTTAGGTCTGGGCCTCAGATTTATGTATCTGCTTCATGATAATTTGTAAATCTATTAGGCAAGTAAGTGATCAGCCTCCTGATGCTTGACTACTGCCTCATACAAGCCATCGACGTTTTCAGCCGGTTTCCTCACGATGTTCTCCTTTACCGTTCGAGCGATTGTTAAATGCGCACATAGACAGCAAGTCATTGGTGCACAGCCGGGGATCGAATCTACGAACTTAAGGGTGAGAGTCGCACACAGAAGCCACTAGGCCAGCACTGCTCTTTATATTATGGTTAATTTTTTTTTTTTTTTTTTCGATTGGACAATTCACACCAATTGACCTAGTCCCATGGTAAGCTGGTGAAGCTTGTGTTATGGGTACTAGGCAACAAATATACATACATATTATAGATACATATATAAATACATATTTAAACACCCAAGACCTAAGCACAACACCAAATGCTCATCACATCGATGTTTGTCTCAGCCGGGGATCGAACCCGGGACACATGGATTCGCAGTCAGGGGTACTAACCACTAGACCAATGAGCCGTCAAATAATAAATAATTGGTTAGTACGTTTTTATAGTATAGTAAAAAGTATTTTATTGTTAATTTATATTCACCGTTACTGTAAAGAAAACCAAGCTCCTTAAGGACAGTTGGTAGGCTATATATAATTAGTATTCTATTGGCAACTGATCCCTGAGACCGGGTGGCTTGGTATGACCCCATCACAGGACACGGAACCGGATATCCGACATGATAGCATTGTTTGATGAATTCAATACATATTTTAATTAATGTAACTGAAGTTCAAGGAATAGACGATTCAAAGATAATTTGTCCGATTTTAAATTAAGAATCATTTTATGTATTTTACAAGTGAAAATCGATATATTAAGGAAGCTGTAGGATATCCAATGCTCGACAAAATTTTTAATCACGTGCAATGTCTGTCTTAAATTCATGCGCAATAGCCCTCGGAATACTTTTGCAGGCGCAAAGTTTCTAAAAATATATTACTTATTCTTGATAATATAATCTATGTAATGACTTTTTAGAAAATAAGAATGAAAAAGATGTACCGTCTCTTTATTTTTTTTTCGATTCGTTTTACAAAACATTTGTAAGTCTTCGAAGCTATCAAAATATTCACACGGTAATTTGATTTGTATAGTGTAGAGGGCGGTAATTTACATTTCTAAAAAAACAACAAAACATTTTTCTTACTTTATAACCCTAATGATACAATATTAATAAATCTATATTTATAAAGTTTTTGTAAAGATATTAAGTGGTTGAAATTTTTACATAAAACGTGACTAAAGAAAAATAACCACAGAATAATCGACATTGACAGCTTCACAAGGTTTTGTCAAACTCCTGTCTGTCATAGTCAATACGCAATTTTAAATTTGAATAGCCAAAACTGAAATGACAAAATGAAATTCATTTATAGTCTGTAGCGCGTGTTGTAGGACGTTTATTTAGTTCCGCAAAAAACAATATTACGCGCATTCGATCGATTTATTAAAAATCTGTTTTATAACATTTAAGGACATGTTGTGATTTTGTTAATTAATAATAAGTGAAGTTTTAACTATCCACAATGGCTAAGTAAGTAGAATAAGTTATGTTGGTAAAAATTGATTAAGGTATTTTATGCTTCACTAGTCGTAGACATCAGCTTCTAATGTGATAGGCACAACTTATGGTATGGAGAAAGTAGATGAATGTTTGGATGCGTTCTTATATATTAACATTTATTTACTAAACCAATCTGTAATAACAGGTTATTTAGAAAAACGTAGAACTTGTTATAAAATATGATGTTAGCTATAACACTATATTTTATTTAAACATATTGTTTGTGCTAGGGTTTTAAAACAATAAATAATATTTGGAAGAATTAAAAAAAATTTATATATGTAGCAATTAAATTATTTTATGTTGTAACAACTGCTCTTGAAAAAAAAATGTTTAAATTGTTAAGTTAAACGGAAATTTAGAACATAATAATACAATAATTGTAGTATATATTACAATAAATATGTACATAGAATACTGTTTAATGCTGACTATTGTCCATTTCCATAGATAATAATTATAACTCATAATATTTATTTTCTAATAATAAATAAAATTATAATGATGTAATCATTCATTTATTACTGTTAATAATATATTGTTTATTTTTCTCATTATATTTTAGAATAATTAAGCCTTGATACTTTTATATATGATTAGGTACTTACTACATTTTGTTACTTATAATTGAGTAATGTTACTGGACTGAAATAATAAAATTAATCTATAACTTAGTTTAGAAATATCTAAAATTTGTCTAGAAGCTAGAAAAAACTACAATATACTTATTGTTATAAAAATAATATTTAATCTGTTTTACAACTGTTTTATAGATTATAAATGTTAAGTGATTTTATATCTTTCGCTGATAATTCTTGGAACATTTTATGAGTTTCTATCTAATTTATAACTTTTTGCTTTAGGGAAATGATGATAGTGTTTGTGTATGACACAGAGTGTTGTGTGGCTGAAGAAGATGATCCAGCTGATGCAGTTCTTTATTTTCACCCTGGTTGGGTGTCAGATACCCAACGGCATGCTTTGGCTGGACAGGTAATATATATATGGACTATTTGATAACTTGTTTTAATTTCTGAAAATCTGCTTACTACTCGTAATGGTGCAGGATAATGTGTAAAGTGGTCTAGTATAAAGTGTTAATGAATTGCCTGTTTAATGGTCTAATAAAATTTTATCATGTCATTATAAAATTTGTTATAAGATGTAGTAAGAACTTAATTTAACATTGCTGCAAATCTGAAGAATATAAAAAACCAAATCGCTGTTTCTGCTTGACTCACTCCACAAAAAAACATATCTTTTTTCTTGCTTTATGTCCAAGCAATAAAACATATACTTGGAATTTACTAGCAATAAAAAACAAAGAATCGTCACCTACTGTACGGTAACATTTGCATAATTAAAAACCTGTTCCATTTCAAAGAAATTTTATAGACTCGTGCAATTCTTTATTGCCAAGGTCAAAATTTGTGTATGTGTAATATATAAAGCGATTAGGATATTAAGACAAAGTCCGCTTCTCCGCTGATTTGTGAATCAAACCATTCCCAGATCCTGAACACACAAAAATTTCATCAAAAGAGGTTTGAGGGGTTCGGTACATACACACATATATATATATATATATATGTAAGCCAAACTTTAAGTTATTTACAAAGACTACTGTTTTTCTCTCAGGTAATAAAAGTTGCTAGTTTAAATAAAAATTTGTGTTTATTTTTTGTACTAAATATTTTACTATCATGTATGACTGGTATATTTTTATGAAATAACAATAAAACATTTTTAATATTATGTTGCCTGAATTAGATTATAATAGGAATAGTCTAAACAAACACTTTAACTGGAAAAAAGCGTGTTATAAATACGTTTCGCACACATAGAGCATTTGATAGACTCGTTTTAATAAAAAAAAAATCAAATTTATGGTGACCTTAAAAAATGGAAATGCTTATGTTGTTTATGAAAAGAAGTTTACTCTGTAGATAAATATCCATGTTATTCATGTAGACCATGGTCGATAATTTTTGAAACCTAAAAAAATAATAGTAGGATGAAACCCATTGGAATAGGAGGAGAATATTATAAAAATTAAAGGAAAAATAATTTACGGGCGATCTGAGGTCGGGAAGGGGGAGGGGGGAGTTTTAAGGGTAAAAAAAACGGTTTATCTCGATTTCCGGCAAAACTAAAAGTCCTATGGAAAGAACTCAAATGGCAAAGTTGTAGGTAATAAAAAGATCTAAAACTTTTGTATTTACACATTTTTCACATTACCTCAAAATTTATGTGAAAAATTAAAAATAACAAGTTTTTGGTTTTTAATTTTTATCTTTTACAAAATTTATTTTTTTCCCTCGAAATTTGTTGAAAACTTACCTTTTATGTCTTTAATACGCTGTAAAGGCGTAAAGGCTTCTACCCTGGTCTAATGTTAGTATGCCCTAGGTCAACTAACACTAATATCAAAACAGTCAATGATCATACAAGTTAATATAATTTGAATACAACATTATAGGTAATTGTAGTATGATAATTAATGAGTGCTCGGGGGCTTGGTTTTGGGTGTGTCGTCAAAGTAGGGTATCGATATCTACGTTGTAGTGATAAATAGTTGTATAAGTTCTTGGTGGTTACTTCTCAGAAAGTGCTATACCTTTATATGAAACGAAAGCTTCTAAAGAAGATATACTTTGGGAGTATTCTATAGAATTGTACGGGCACATTTTGATCAGCCTGTGAATGGCACATGTCGATTTTTGGATTCAAGTCATCCCGGTTTCCTCAGGATGTGATGATGCCGTCACCGTGCGAACAAGTCTTAATTGGGCACATAGAAATAAAATCAATTGGTGCACAGTCGAGATTTGAAGGCAGGGCCTCATGATCGACAGTCGCACTTATGCCACTAGGCCAACACTGATGCATTGTATGCAGTTTATAATATCTTTAATATAAAATAACTGTCCAGGTGGTGGGAGCGGCTCACTGCATCAAGTCTCTATTCTCTCAGCCGTCGGCAATCACGTTGCAGAGTGGGAAGTTTATTATCAGGGAATATGGAAGATACGTTTTGGTGAGTATATATGTGCTCAAAAGTTGCTTAGGGTAATATTCAGAGTAGGGACTTGGCGCTGAGTACGACTCCCAGATGTCAAAAAAGTTTTGGATTTGACATATGACAGTTGACACTTAGTCTCGACTCTGAATAATACTCACACACGTATTATGGGGCGTTCCCAGGAGCTTAATCACGACAGTCAACTACGCTAGTCAACTGTCGTTCGTGACACTCACGAAAGTGTGAATTGATGAAACGTTCACATGGTTGGGGGATTTCGTGCCGTTCAGCTTCGTGTTTCGACTTAGTCATTATCGAAACATCGATCATGAATGATCTGTTGTTGAAAGTTGTGCTGTTTTAAGTTGGTTTTGTACTATCATAGCAAAAAGATCATGAAAAGAAAACGAAAAAAAGACGTTCATTATGACTTATTCTCATAGCTGGGCGGCACGTAAATCTCTATCACGGTATTCCTCCAAACTTGGATCATATAACATCTTTTCCATAGAATATAACTCCAAAAAACGCGTAGTTTCACTGTCGTTAAACTTAATTCCACGTTGTTGTGACGACATCTTGGCTTCACGAACGGTATATCACGACTGAAAATCAAACACGTTTGATCTATCCACGCTTGTGTTGCGCCGTTCCTCACGAAAGCAAGTTTAACGCCTATGCGTTCACACAGAAGTGTATTTACGAAAGCGTGGTTGACTGTCGTATTAACGTCGTGGGAACGCCCATTAAGAAACATCGTTTGCTTATGATTGGTTAACATATAAGAGAAAACAATTGACGAGTTCAATCCTTTTGTTTACAGCAGTATCTTATGTTACCTTAACTATTCGATAGCTCCGTTAAGTTTCGAGTATGCGTGCGTTTACGTATAGTATTCTAAGGCAAACAGTGTGCTTTTGCTACTATACTAAGTATGATAATTAAATAAACGTAAATTCTTTGTCATACAACAATAAATTTTTATATAACGTTCATAATATTAATATGAATAATTTGTCAGTATCGTCCGACACCTCTGAAAAGATATATATTTTTAAATATAATTAAGAATCTATTAACAAAAATCAGTACATAATATTTTAATCGATGTAATCCTGATGAACATCGGAATCTAATAACGAATTTCTGTTCAAAGGGTCAGGATTTATACTATCTCTCTTTTCATCGCAGCATAAAGACAATTTGACGGAAAGAGCACATTAGTTTGAGTGCAATTTTTTTATAGAACAGGGGGCACTCTCAGTGCCAGATTGCTCGCGAATGCGTTGCCGGCCTTTTAAGAATTGGTTCGCTGTTTTCTTGACCCTAAGTCGAATTGGTTCGGAAATACTTGAGTGGGTAGCTGGTTCCACACAGTGGTGGTGCGCGGCAAAAACTGCCTTAAAAATGCACAGTTGTAGGACGACGGACGTCAAGGTGATACGGGTGGAATTTCGTATTCTGCCTCGATGCCGATGATGAAACTTAGTTGCAGGTATAATCCGAACAACCCTTTCCGAGGTAAATGCGGTAAAATATGCAGAGATTAATTATTTATGGCTAAAGGTATATTATAAATATATATTGAGAGAAGTTACAGTCTATAAAAAAAAATCTGCTCACACAGTATACTTATCAGCAGAAGTTTAATCTGTTTTTGCAGAAGATTATCTTTAAACGATTGTTGTGTAAGCTGTGGTTTACCGATTAAAGGAATCCGTAGGTTAATTACGCAATAGTGTTTAGTTTTATGCAAACAGTAATGTTCTTTCCTGTTACGCGCTAAAACGACATCAAATTTAAAAAGCGCACAGAGCATGACACATTTGTCATTTTGACAACTTTCGTAATAGAGAATATTCATAACGACACGAATTTATTGTCAAAAAATCAATAAATACGACGAATAAAATATGTCCTTTAAAATTAGGTCCATGGTTTTAAATTGAAATGATATGTAGTGCCTATAAACCAAGAAGTACTAGGTTAAACAATTTCTTTCAATATGGCAGAAAGAAAGAAAGTTTTTTCAGTAATAAACTCGAAAGATTTAGTCACATTTAAAATTGAACAGAATAGTAAAAAAATTAACGTTTTGATAACAGTAACAGAAGAGAACCTCGGAGAGAGGGTTGCTCGAAACGTCTAAAAACAAATAAATGAAGATTCCTATTTAAAATTTTTATCTAACGCCTGCAGAATTTCAGCATACGTTTTATATTTAGTCTTAGACCTTGACCATGTGTCTAAATTCCGCAGTTAGCTCGGTACCTATTCTATTCAGACGTGGCGTCCTTCGACTTCTATACTCAATTCTTTTCAATTCCGAAACTTCCTCTAAAAAATGAATTCAAATTCTCAGGTCCTAATAAGTATATGATACGCTCCTCTAATAGATGCCTTTTGGAAATTCCATCTCACAGCTCATCCTTCTTAGGCAATTGCCTAAAACGAATTCGTTTTGGATCTCCGCTATTAAGTTGTGGATTAAGCTGTCCGACTCCATACGATTATCTAACTCCCTAACATCTTTTAAAACTCTTCTTGATAAACATTTCTTAATATATCCTATCCTACTCAATCGTGACTTTTGTAATTCTTGTATTTCTTATACTTTTGTATTGCATCGCAATTCATTAATCCGTGAGATTAGCTTTTTAGTTGTTCTTTTTTTGTAATATAAAAGATTAAGGTTTGTGATTCTATAATTTTTATAAAGATTTGGTTATGCACTTCTTTACCCATCATATTTCGATTTTTAGATTTTTTCCTTACTATGGTTGCCTGGAAGAGATCGCTTGTTAGCAATAAGGCCGCCCGTTGAATCCCTTGTAATTTTTTATGTATTATGTTTTTAGTTTTTCTATAAATGTAACGAAGTGTAAATAAATAAAAATTGATAAAATAAAAATCCCAAAACAGTAAACATTTTATGGAATTTGAATTATTATGAAACCGTGTTTATTCAAGGCTAACAAGTCTAGCTTCAGACTCATTATCAAGATGTCCCTTCCTTATTAAAAACCGATTGACGTTTCGTAATTTTATTGTGACCTTGACCTATACAAGAAACATCTTATCATCCCAAGAATGTAATTATAAAACAGTATCATACAATTTTCCATTTAATTCACTTAAAAAAATATGAAAAAATATTATGTTTAATAAACATGTATATAATAATACTTTCATCTGCTCTCAGCAAATCATACGAGCAACTAAGATAAATTTGTCGAATTACGTCTCCACCTTAAAACAGCTCTAAATGTTTTTTTTAAATCGTTCTTTACGACTTGTATGTCAAACTCAAACTCAAACTCAAAATATCTTTATTCAAGTAGGTAACCAAGTACACTTTTGAATCGTCAAGTTAAATTAATCGTAAATTTACATTTACTAAGTTCGCGTCAAGGGCTAGAGCGGGTAAGAAGAACTGGCAAGAAACTTTCCGCCACTCTTTTTAATCGCCAAGTATTTCATACAAATTGTTTGAACTGGAGCAATTCAATCCCAGGATTAGGACATTTAATAGTCCTCAAATTTATAAAAGCTTGTTGATTAATTTTCGTTTAAGAGGGCTTTGAATTTATTTAGTGATAATTCTCTAATTTCGCTTGGAGCTTGTTGTAAAAAGAAACAATTTCCATTGATGTTTACTTTAGCTGGTTGGTGTACACTAAATTAGTCTATTGGTAGGTGAAAGTCACCATTTGTTTTAAAATGTTTAATTTTTTGGACATACAACAAGGCTTCAAGAATATATTGACCAGATAGTGTCATAATATTTAATTCCTTAAACTTATTCCGTACCGACTCCCTCGGAGAAACACAACAAATACCCCGAACAGCCGCTTCTGCAGCACAATATGGATTGAACCTCTGCAGCAGCACCCCACAGTAAATGCCGTACGACATAACGCTATGAAAGTAGCTATGGTACACAATTTTAGCCGTTCCTCATCAGTAAACTGTCGATTTTCTTTACTGCAACGAGAGCTCAGCCTATTCGAAAGAGTCTCTTGTGTGGGCCCCATTGGTTTACTATCTATTGTTAGCCTAGAAAAACAGTTTTGTCAACAAAGTTTAGTTCACTGTCCTTAATTTTCGGTTACCAATATCTCGCTTTACGCTAGTAGTTGTAAATCTAATACATTTTTTTTTCTCATTAAGCAAAGTTATTTACATTAAACCAGTTAACTATACGAGAGATAGAATTGTTTAATCGTCCAATAATACTTATTCCTATTCACTTTAAATAGAAGTGAAGTGTCATCAGCAAACAATACCATCTCATGAACTTCGTTGACAAAGAATGGGAGGTCATTTATGTAAATCAGAAATAAGAAAGGCCCGAGAATCGATCCTTGGGGACGCCCATTGATACCTGCGACCCGGAGAGGTGACTCCATTGACATGAACTCTTTGGATCCTTCCCTTTAGAATTTCAGGTGGAAGCTTTGCCATAAGCCATATTTGAAGCTTTCAGGTAATCAGAGAAACAGTCAAAGGCCTTTGACAGGTCAAAAAGACGCCGACTCCATCATATGATTCTTCCCAGGCGTTAAAAGTCCGAAATCAACTTCACACCGGCATCGTGGAGCGACCCTTAGTGAAACCATACTGTTTATTATGTAAGAGTTTATTTTTATTAAAATTAGAAAGGTTAGCATTTTTTCAAAAACTTTGCTCAACGCAGGGAGCACGGAAACAGGTCTGAAGTTTGACGGATCAGACTCACTACCGGCCTTGAACAACGGTGTAATCTTACTTAATTTCATTTCGTCCGAAAGACTCCACAATCGAACATTGTTAAAAATTAAGACAATTCAGAGCTTATTACATTAATAACGGAATTTAAAATGACTGTTGACATACCCCATATATCTTTACTTTTTTAAATTAATAAGCTTAAAGTTTTAACGATATCATTACAAGTTATTGTTTAAACTGAAATTTAATATTCATTCAGGTACACATTTTTCTAGAATGAGATCGCAGCAGAGGTGAAGAATCTA